GGGTGGCAATTATCTTACGGACGCATAGGGAAAAAGGGGGCGTTAAGTGAAAATGAATGTCCAGCGGAACCTTACGATCAGAAGAACGGAACGAATACAACAGCTTGTCCTGAGACGCAGCAGCTTTCGATGAAAACACAAAGAGGTACCAAAATGAGTGAAAAAGTGTTAAATTGTGTCAGAAAATAGAAATTAACTCCAGTATCTAATATTTAATATCAAATGATAATTTGTCGGTCAATTATAAACAGAATCATAAACGCTCTTCGAGGAATAGATATTAACTAATAGTGAGACATATTGAAAGTATCTGCAACTGAAACCTATTGTACGAACTTATAGAAATAAGAAGTTAGATTAAAACATTTTGCTAATGACTTATTTTGTAACATTTTGTATTTTGATGTGGAACTCTTCTTTACATTTCGCTGCAAATTTCAATTTTTTGTGCATTACTGATGACTGATTTCATCGCCAAATATATAGCAGTCGAGATTTCGACAAATTGTTTGGCATAATCGTCACCACAAATTCGGAATTTTTTATGTTTTTGACAAACAAATTTCTTGGCTCTCTCATATACCAGATTTTTAAACTGTTAATAGCAACCCGCAGTTCTTCAGATCTTCGTTGTCCTTTCTGGGCAGCAAACAGTTTTCGACTCTGTTAAAGTAGTGCAAAGCAGTGCTAAGACGCAAATGAAATGTAACAGCTCCGTGCCCAAAAGTGTAGCTTCAAAGCTTCGAGAAGGAATTAATATTCTGTTTTTGTAGGTTTTTACATGTAAAAAGTGTGTTAAAATGGAAGAAAAAGCAGCCATCACTGAATGACAAGCATTGATTAATGCATGCAATTATCATCAGTGCTTTAAGTATCAGAAATATTAAAACCGCTAAGATGTTGTATTTAATGTCAGTTATTTTACCGGAATGCTTACACACACCGGGCGCAGTCATTCCGAGCTCTTCATCTCGAACTGTATACGCTCAGTTTGTAGCCATCGCCTGTTCGATGTGTGTGTGCACCACCTCTCGGAGTTCGCCCGAGTGATGGTTTACCGAAGGGAAATACCACCGAATTGATTAGAACGCTTAAGCAAGTTGCGAGGATATTTGATGAGCTGCTTAGCCTCTCCCACTCATATTTAACCTTTTTTGGCTCACTCCTTTATTTCCCATCACTCTGCCGCCTTCCTCTCTCAGTCATGACTAAATATTAGTCCTATAAAACAACCAGTGCGTATTTTTGAGTTCAGGATCGTTTCAAATCCTTTTTTTAAAGGTACCATAAATTTAGCGTATTTGATGTACGTTTTCAGGAGATGAAGGCGCGGGATGTTGTGTCATTGTTAGTGCTTACCATCAAGTGTGCGTCCATCGTATTTGCTCAGTCAGTATATGGTATGTGCGATTATCCGGGATCATTAAATCTTGTACATATTCAAAAAAAAAAAAAAAAAAACGTCTTTATTTGTGTTTTGAAAACACAACCTCGTCAGGATAGAATGAATAAATTAGTGTGAACGATCATCTTAGTTCAATAAACAATAAGCGCGGCATCAGATCAGCATAAAAATAAGCTAGTTTGATCTACAAAACAGCTTATAGATGTTAAAGCTGCATCAGAAAGCAAAAATTTAGTACAAATGCGCCAAATTAAAGAATTCGCTAGACAAGGAGAAAATGGTGGTGGCTGCAGGAAAAAAAGTACAGAAATTTGCGGGTTGAAAATTCATTCAAACTTAAAGAGATTTCAAAAACGAAAGATAGCGAATTCATTTTGGATTCAAATTTCACAAAGACAAGTTCAGAACGAACTCATTTTTGTAGAATCTCGATGCACTGTTTCAATCAGGAAATTGGAAAAACGAATTTTTGGCTATTACAATCATAACTAACAGCTGGGAACATGATGTGCTACTAAACCGGAAAGTATGCACGAAATCTCACAGCTGAAAAATTCAAAAATTCAGAAAATTAATTAAAGACTTTCTTTCAAAATTGAATTTGAATCAAAAGTTTTTAAGTTCACCAGATATTTTAAGTATCAAAAAATTACAGGAATACATCAGTTCGAATGCCGCGTTGACGACCCTTTGTCCTGTGACCAAGCAAAGAACGAAGTGTGTACTTTTCGGGATGGTCGCTACAGCTGTGAATGTCCTCAGGGTGTTAGCCGGACATCAAATGGCCGATGCATTGTGGTCAACGAATGCGCAGATCCTCGTCTCAACGAGTGCCATGAAAAAGCGAAATGCATTGATCAAGTTCGGAATTATTCGGATTTTTGCTTAAAAACCTTCATCCCCACTAAGAAAATTAGCCTTTTGCAAGCGTAGTGCGATGCACTGTAAAGTAGTGCGATTTTTGTGCAGTAAGTCAAAGATTCTTTGGCTTTGTCTACGATTCGTTTATACACTTCTATAGTAAATTGGTACTGATATATGCTAGGGAGTCGAGACATTTATCAGCTTACTTGCAAGCAATTGTCGAAAGAGGGAACACTCGACAGTTTTAAATCTGCAGGCGCATTTGCTACTAATCTGGCTAATTCCTGAGTGTCTCCGTCTCCCAAACAGAACGGATACAGAAAGGATTTTTACTTTAATTTTTATGCGTTTTTGCCGCGCGCAAAAACGCATATTGCAACGACCCTGTCAGTGTGTGTGTATGTTTGTGTGTGTGTGTGTGTGTGT